ATTTTATTGATCAATTATTCTCAGCTCCAAACATGATAGACATTGCTACATTTTTACCCAAAAGTAGACAATTCTTTACAAAATAATATATATACATTCATATATACAAACACCTTGGGACACAAGATATATGTCTTTTACACTAGTTTCCACCTTCTTGTCTGTCTTTACTACATGAATATTTTGTAGACACTGATTCAAAACCAAGTTGAGTGTTTGTTCCAATTAAAAGTTAATATTAAACAAGCTTATTAGAAGACATTTCTTTGTTGTAATTTTCTAGGGGAATAGTGATTTTTTAAATTGTTTTTCTAATGCAAAAATGTAAAATTCAAGGGCTCAATAAAAGCCACTACAAATAAACTAAATGGATTTGTACTCAGCACACACATTTTTCTGAACTGCTTTTTTAAGAAATATGAATAAAAATCTTTATGCTTCACACTAGAAAAAAACAAATGTACGCTCTGAGGGAACACAAGATTATGGCTCCAGTAAGTTTTATAAAATAACTAACCACAGCCAGAACCAGTTTGGCTCAGTGGATAGAGCTTCGGCCTGCGGACCGAAAGGTCCCAGGTTCGATTCCAGTCAAGGGCATGTACCTTGGTTGCAGGCACATCCCCAGTAGGGGGCGTGCAGGAGGCAGCTGATGGATGTTTCTCTCTCATCGATGTTTCTGGCTCTCTATCCTTCTCCCTTCCTCTCTGTAAAAAATCAATAAAATGTATAAAAAAAAAAATAACTAACCACAGAAATATTTGCTGTGTGTCTACTCAATTTTGATCCATTTCTCCCAGACATCATTTCACAAGACCAAGCTGTTTCACAATAATACTGGTCAATACTGGTTATCCAACTGTTTTCCAACATCTCATTTCTGATTTCTAGGTTTGTCATTTAATATGAAATATAGCAGTTGAGTTAGGAAGACAATAAACTGTTAGGAAGTTGAACATGCCGTGTATGCTAGATGTATCAGGAATGTGTGTGCTCCGCCCAGTGCCCTCTGGAGGCTGAATCTACTGCCTCTGACCAGGTAAGGTCTCTTGAGCCTCTTCTTTCCCTAAAGATAACCTGTGTCTAAGAACATGAGGCTTCAGAGTCTGCTCTCTAAGGTCTTCCTGCCTCGTCTTATATACCTCCTGCCTACACTCCACTCTGTCATTCCAGGGATCCTGCTAAATACAAACCTGCTCTGCACTTAAATCCTATCAGCGAATCCTCACTGCTTTCAAGATAGAATCTCGACCCTTCGCCTGTTCTACCTCCCTTTGCCTCATCTTCATTCAGTCCCATCCCTCACCCAAGCCTTCCTCCCCTTAGGCTAGATGCTCCAGCCATTCTGCAAAGCAGCTCTTCCCATTGGCCCAGCAGTTCCAACATCTCTGCTCTTTGGAGTCCCCTTCTCCTTTTACACTCCTCATGCATCTCTCTGGCAAACACCTATTCACCTTTTCCATTCCTTAAGGGCCTTCCTGGAAACCTCTATCTGTCCCATGCCTTAACCTTACAGTGGTGACTCCCTCCTTGGTGTCTCTACAGTACACGCTTCTGCTTTTCACACATCTATCTGCTTGTTGCTCTCCTCCTAGACAGCAACTCCTTTAGGGCAGAGGCCAGGCCTTGTCCATCTCTGCCCCCATAAAGCACAGCATAGAGTTTTCATTCAATAGATGACGGACAAATGAAGTAATTAACCTTTGCATGTAAAGATAACATCCAGCACAGGATAAGCACTCATTAAATATTTACAGAATAAGCAAATGAATGAATAATTCTCTAGCCACTGGTGATAATGTGTGGATATCTATAAACACTCAATTTTCCTATAAACTAAGAGTTTTCAAAATATAGATATATCCCCCTATCCCCCACCCCCGCCATCTCCTACTCTGCCTTAGAGACCTAAAATAAAAACAGGAAAACACAGGGCTATACTCATCAACCCTTACCATAGACTAACACCAGCTCAGACCTTATCATAGAAAAATCTGACCTAATTCGCATGACCCATCTCTGCCCTCCTGTATTAGGCAGAACTCTTAGGGGCCAAAGAACAGACACAAAACTTTATCCAAAGGGGAAACCAGCAATTATTAAAAGGAGTCCAGGCTGGAGTAGCTCACAGAATCTAAGGAAGAGCGACAGAAAGCAGGAATGGCAAGATCTCACAGAATAGAGCCAGGTTTTCTGCCCTCCAGCTCAGTTTGGGTCAAGACATCCTAGACTAACCACCATGGCCAGAAGGATGTGAAATTATGATTTCCCAGCCTATGTCACATGGTCACAGAATCTGGACCTGCAGTGTGGATATTTATCTGTCCCTCTACTAATCACCCCATGCAGCTAACCCCCTATTCAAGTATCTCCAAAATACCAGCTCCAAAGTCACTTGTCTCTACAACTTTTAAGAAACTGTGTTTTTTTCCATTTATAGCTGACATTTATTATATTAGTTTCAGCTGAACATCACAACTTAATTAAGCAAGTATCTATCCAATCATCAATACGTATTTGAGTACCTCCCCGACCCAGACAATCATAGTTCTAGATGCTAAGGACACAAATGTGAGCAAGGCAAAAAAATCCCTGCCCTTTGGTGGAGACAGTAAACAAATGTAAAATTTAATGTATTGTGAGATTAAGTGCTATAATAAAAACAACATGTTAAGGGGATAGGACACGAGAAGGACAGTTGGGGAAGGCAAGAGTACTAGTATTTTAGACAGGAACATTTTCCCTTAGAAGATGACATTTGAGGAGAGAGACCAGAATAAAGTGAGGACACACACCATATGAATATCTGGGTGGAGAGCCTGCCAGGATGAGGGCAAAACAAATGTAAGGGTCTAAAGTTCAAGTGTTCAAAGGAACCACAGAAATCTGGAAAAAGAATAGTCCCTGTGAAGGGAAAATACACAAAGGCCCTGAGACAGAAAAAACGAGGTACAGCTAGAGAAGAGTGAGGAAAGAGTGGTTTCACAAAATACAACTGGACAGACAGGCAAGGGTTTTTTATTCTGAGACAAGAAACCATGTGCATTTTTTCTCATTCCATACACTTATGTCTATGCGTTCTTATTCTAGGGTGAAAAAAATAAAATACAACTGCTAATGACACCATAATCCCTACAACAATCCCCACCACTATTATTTACTTTCCAAACACCTGTGTATCAGGTTTTAGAATCAGTTATAAAGAGATTTTATGTAATTATCCAAGTGAAAAACACCATTTTTATTTCCCATGTGCTAAAGCTTTTAAGTCTATGAAGCTCAAGTAAGATCAAATAATATTTGTGAACAAGCGAGACAAAGTAAATAAATTTCGACTATGAATAGTACCTAATAATCATAGGATCAAGTATTTGACATGGCATAAAGTACCATTAAATCAATGAATAAGATGATACAAAGCCTCATACTATTGCAAGAATACAGAACTATTTAATATCTTAATCATTTTAGCACCAAACTAAGGTCACTTAATTTATTTATTTTTTTACTACTTCTACATTACAATTTGTCTTCTTGTGCCACTACTGGCTTACATTTCACTGCAAGTTACATAACCTTACATTGCCAAGAAATAAATACTTTAATTTACTTTTTATTAAATATTTAGATGAAACGTTTTAGATGAAATCCTAATTCTTAGTGATTAATGATAGTATAACACACCACCACCACTTCCCAATCAGAAACCCTATGTGCAATACAACAAATGGCTTTTCCTTCACTTTCCCATTCCCTTCCATCTGAGTGAGTCTTTTCCTTCTTCTGCCTTCTAGGCCTACAGATTATCATAATCTGAGCTGAATGAACAGTCAGTATTACAATGCCTTGTCCATCGAACCTTTCATCTTCCCTGCATCACTAAAAAAAAAAAAAAATCCTAGCTTCTGGTTGACCTGAGAGTCATCAATTTTGTGTGGGGTGTTTTATTTTGTTTCTAACTATCATATGTGATTAGTGTATTTTCGTGTTCACCATTAAATTTTAAATACAGTTTCTTTCTGGCATGATATACAGGTAGACACGAATGTGTCCCTTTTAAACAAACCCACTGACAGGATTGTAAGATATATTGTTTATGCTGCTGGCACTTCTTTTCACTGCTGCTGCTGCTGCTGTTGTTTAAACATTTAATGAAAGATTGTATTGAACTCATATCCTGGGGCTATAATCAAAGCAATCGTTTTAAAAATAAATAACCTGGAATCATCCAAAATGTCTGATAAAAAAAAAAAAAAAAAAACAGTCTACTTTCCTAAGATCAAAGAAGCCATCTGATGCTTGTCCTCAGTCTCCCTCCTCAAAACTCTCTGTTCGTCACATCCTTCTCTCTCTTCCCTCTTGGGCCGTGAAAGATGTATTTACTTTCCCTGACAGAGAGGATGTTTTCTTCTGCCTCTTGATACTGTCCCTAACATGCCCCTCATATCCTGCTTCCATCAAGAACCTTTGCTCGCAGCTTTGAGACAACCTGTTCTCACATGTATCTTAAACCTTTAATGGTTCACTTGGTCCCTCTTTTCTCTTTCTATAACTATGCTTACTTGTCCTGTGTTTAAAAAAACAAACATTCCAAACTTATTGGGCACTTTTATACCTCAATCCCTTCAGATCTGGCATTTGCACATACCAGTGGACTGAAAGTGCCCCCAACACCTTTCTTCACCCTTATCTTCCTCAATCTTCTATCGGATGAGACTCTGCTGACCACCAATGCCTATTAAATTGGTCCCTCCTGCGTTCCCCCTTCCAGATCTCTGATTTATATATTTCTTTTGCTTACTATTGCTTATAACCAAGCAAAATGTGAGCCAAATGAATATCCAAATTAAAAAGAAAGTTCAGAATTATCTATTTTTGTCAATTATACCCTGAAGTTTCAGTCATCAAACATCAATACCCAAATTTTCATTTACTTTTTCTCTCCATTATCCTTACCTCTTCATATCTATGCAGACATTTGTGCCATTCTTTCTCTGTTTACCTTAGCCAGCCAAAAAGCCTTCTGAATTTCCCACTTACACTAGTTCAATAGCTTCCAAATTCATCTTTCTGTCTCTTTCTCTTCTTACCTGTCCAACCCAGGAAAAAAGAAAACAAAAACAAAAACTTCTTGAAACATGTCGGTTTCTAACTCAACCAGTATTTGATGGGGAGAAAAATGTTCAGTATCATTAGCCATGAGGAAAAAGCAAATTAAAACCACCATGAGATAACCCTACACACCTATCAGAATGAAGAAAATAAAAAATAGTTATGACACCAAATGATAGATAGAATGGAAAAAACATAGACCACTCTTACATTGCTAGTAGAAATGTAAATGGAATAGCCACTCTGGGGAGTAGCTTCTTAAAAAACTAAACATGCAATTACCGTGTAAGTCAGTAATTGAACTCATGGGCATTCATCACAAAGGAAAAAATAAAACCTATGTGCACACAAAAACCTATACACAAATGTTGATGGCAGCTTCATTCATGATAGCTCAAAATGGCAACAGTCCAAATGTTCTCCCACAGATGACTGGTTAAACAAACCATGCAGTGATAAAAAGGAACTACTGGAACATGCAACAACTTGGGTGGGTCTCAAGGGTATTATGCTGACCAAGAAAAAAGTCAACGTTAAAAGGTCATATACTGCATGAGTCCCTATCTATACTAATAAAAGGGTAATATGCTAATTAGACCGGATAGACCGGACATCCTTCCGGACAAAGCCACGGTGGTGGGGCCAAGGCAGAGGTGGTTAGGGGCGATCAGGCAGGCAGGGGAGAGCAGTTAGGTGTAATCAGGCTGGCAGGGAAAAGCAGTTAGGGGCGATCAGGCTGGCAGGGGAGAACAGTTAGGGGCGATCAGGGTGGCAGGCAAGAGCAGTTAGGAGCGATCAGGCAGGCAGGCAGGTGAGTGGTTAGGAGCCAGCAGTCCCAGATTGCAAGAGGGATGTCCAACTGCTGGTCGGATATCCCCCGAGGGGTCCTGGATTGAAGATGGTGCAGGCCGGGCTGAGGAACCCTCCTCCCCCACCGTGCATGAATTTCATGCACCGGGCCCCTAGTAAATAATAATCTTGAAGAAAAAAAAATAATAATAATAATCTTGAAATGAAAAAATTATATGGAAAACAAATTGGTGGCTGCCAGGAATTAGGGTGGAATAGAGGCAGGAAGGATGTGGGTGTGACCATAAAGGGTAGAATGAGGGGGATCTTTGCATTGACTGAACAGTTCTGTATCTTGATGTCAGTGGTGGTTACATGAATCCACAGAACTATACACATACACTGTACCAATGTCAATTTCCTGAAATTGATATTATAATATGGTTGTGTAAGATACAGCCACTGGGGCCAACTGAGTAAAGAGTACATGGAAGGGACCTCTAAAATGTATTTTAAACTTCCTATGAATCTAAGATTATTTGAAAACACAAGTGTTTGGGTTTGTTTGTTTTTTTTAAAAAAAAGGGGGGCTACATAATATATTCCATTTATATAACATTCTTAAAATAATAAAATTATACAAATAAAGAAAAAAAATTAGTGTTTGCCAGCAATAGCATGGCAGTGAAGAAGAGAGAATAGGTGTAATTTGCCAGGTCTTTATCTAGCATTCCTTTAGCCATCTAAGCACCATAATGAGGACAGTGTTCCTTAAAGGCCACATGTGTGTGGGGCTATATATCCGGAGGCAAGAGAGACAGACAGAGAGAAAAAGCTTTTTTCCCTTGTAAGACATGTTAATAAGAACATGTTAGATTATGCTTAAAAGCCTATCTTTCAGAAATCTCCATGGACCAGCTGCAAATCAACCCCTACTCAAACAGGAAAAATCATTAGTTCTTCTCAACTTAAGACCAGAGAAACAAGATGAATCATAAAAAGGGTATGAATAAAAGCAGTCAGCATATAACTTTTCCTAATCCTGTTTTTTCTGAAAGAATTATTTTAAGTTCTGAAGCATTTTTTTTAGCAATCCACAATACATTAACCAAGTAAATATGACCAATCAAGCAATTCCACATGCACTACTGTATAAGAAAGACATCTGCATAATGCTCACAATTATCAATTAACACTCAAGTAAATCAGTTCAGATGATTTAATTCAGAGGATTTATTTTCATTTTAGGCCAGCTACTAAAATTATATAGAAATACTGAAATAAATGTTTAGCCTAGAATATAGTTCAACCTATTCTCTTCACTCTAGGGCAGTCAGTTACAGAACCATGGAAATGAGGATAATCACTTCACAGATGGGGAAACTCAGGCTCAAAGATGTAAGAAGCTTGCTCAAGGGAACAGTTAGTAGACTGGCATTGCTAAGCTTCAAACCCAGGTCTGTCTGACCCAAAGTAGATACAAATTCTAATACTCCCACCAGCTAAAGTTCACTTCCTAATTTCCAGCTAAGAAAATATACACTCTTAGAAAGATAAAAGTTAAATAACATTAATGTATGTTAACCTCCAAATATCTCATATATGTTTTTGTACGTATCAGGAAATATAGAAGGAAGAGGCAATATACTCTAATTTGCTCAACTTGTTATAATGAATATATAGCATTTTACCACAAGAAAAAAAAATCCTATAGAAAAATAACAAAAAATGGCAGTATCACAGTGGTCAAGAACACAGATAATGGGATTAGTCCAGGGGTGGGCAAACTTTTTGACTCGAGGGCCACAATGGGTTCTTAAACTGGACCAGAGGTCCAGAACAAAAGCATGGATGGAGTGTTTGTGTGAACTAATATAAATTCAAAGTAAACATCATTACATAAAAGGGTACGGTCTTTTTCAATAGTTTTATTCATTTCAAACGGGCCGAATCCGGCCCGTGGGCCGTAGTTTGCCCACGGCTGGATTAGTCAATATTAAATTATCTTTGGCAAGTTACTTAATCTCTCTGTATCTCAGTTTCTTCAAGAAATCACTACACCTCACAGGATTTCAGGTGTTAAATATATGCACATTGTCTGGCTTATAGTAAACAATCAACACTAGCCACTACTATTGTTATTTTATAACTTACATTTTACTGCAGTGCATGATTTTGTATTATCGCTGATACATTGAGTATTATGACTATGAACAAAGGATACTGTGCCATCTAAACTCACTATAAACTTACTTTAAAAAAATACTGCCTCTAATCACACATACATGCTACTTGGTTTATGCTGACTCCTTCCATATAAGTTATTATCTGATTTTAAACAAGTGTCTTTGTTCAGAAGAGTCTCCTATCTCCTATCACCATTCGCTCTCACTGCTATAGCTTCCTGTCTATTATTCTGCCCATAAAAATCTAGTCTTTTACTATTTAACTAAAACACCTATTGTTGTTGCTGCTGATAACAGTATACAGCTTAGAGACATGTAAATGTGAAAAATTACATGTGAATGTAGCATAAACACTCATTTAAAATTTTTTAAACAAAGGTTATACAAATAGAATGCATTTTAGTTACCTTAGAAGAGTGGAGAAAAAGGCTATTTTCTTTAGATTTCAAGTTTTAAAGAAACACTTTTTATACTTGATGCTATTAATTCTGAAGATATCTTTACACTACTTTGAAATGAATACATATGCTTCAAATTAGAACTATTCAGTACTATTTGTAATGCTAACATACCTTCAAAAACTAGGAGTAAAATTTTACAAAATTCTTAAAATCCAACTCATTTACAAAATTAGTAAATAAAATTTTTCCGGTTCTTACAGTTTATTATAATGTTTTAAATCACATAATCATATTACATACACTACATGGTATTTAAAATAAATGATTCAAGCCCAGCCAGTGTGGCTCAATGGTTGAGCATCCACCTATGAACCAGCAGGTCACGGTTCAATTCCAGGTCTGAGCATATGCCTGGGTTGTGGCCTTGATCCCTAGTAGGGGTTGTGTAGGAGGCAGCTAGCTGATCAATGATTCTCTCTCATCATTAATGTTTCTATCTCTCCCTCTCCTTTCCTCTCTGAAATCAATAAAAATATATTTAAATAATAATAATAATAAAATCAATGAATCGAGATGGCCTACAGAGTTTTAGCAGACAGCAAGATAAATACAGAGAAACATTCATCTTTCATAGCTAATTATAAACACAGTGACGTTGTGAATATTTTTATATGATATAAAACTACACAGCATTAACAACAGCAAAGGATGATATCCTAGCTGTAAAATCTAAGTGAAGCAGATGAACGGCATTTCAAAATATCCTAAAGAGAATTTCTCTTGTGGATCTGAAGTTCACTCAAGTGGCTACAACTGGTATTTATGCAATGCTTATCAGGGTACCCAGAAGCTACAAGGTTTCCCATCCATTAAACCTGCCTTTAACTTGAATTTCAGCTGAATTAAATAGGATATTATCACTGTGCAATTTTGGTGGCTGAATGTACTTTGCCATTTCCGAACATTTCTGAATAACTTGGTACTAAATGATACTCTACATTTTTAGATCCATTATAACCTACGACCTTCAAGACTCTTAAAAAAAAAAATGTTTATTGATTTTAAACTGGAAAAATTCCAAAATGACTCAGATTCATGTTTTAATATTTAAATGTATGGGGGTAGGAGAATGAACTTGTTGAACAGAACTCTATATAGGAGACCACTGCCACTCCAGTGGAAGATAAGGTAATGACAAAAAGAAAAAAACAACCTAGGAGCCAGGAGAACTGGCAACCTCAAAGTGCAAACAAAAACAATCATTTCCTTCTTCTGAACCTGATTTTGCTTGCAGCAAACATACTTACAGCAGAGGTCATACATTATGCCATTTCCTTTATAAGTTTACATATACTGCAAAATCTAGCACAGTGCTGTGCACACGTTAGGCACTCGATATAAATGTGATAAATGCACAAAAGAATGAGTGATTCCATTCTACCCCTAACAGTGCAACTGTGTCTGTTCTCTCCTGTGCTACTGAGAGGCATGGCTTTGGCAGTTGTCACCAAAACAATGTTGGGAGTCAGAGGAGAAAGATACAGAAGTCAGAATAAAATCACCAATGTGCTACTTCCATATAATAACTCATCCATCTGCTACATCCACACAATGAAATAACATTAGGCAATAAAGAGGAATGGAGTACTAACTCATGCTACAGCATGAATGAGCCCTGAAAATACTATGCTAAGTGAGAGAAGCCAGTTACAAAGATCACATATTGTATGATTCCATTTACATAGAATACCCAGAGTAGTCAAATCCATAGAGTAAGGAGATAGATGGATTGAAGATGAAAGCTAACCATCATAAGGCTTCTTTTGGGGGTGATGAACATGTTCTAAAATTGACTGAGGTGATGGTTGTACACCTTCATGAATATACTAAAAACCATTGAATTGTATACTTTAAATGGTTGAACTGCATGGTATGTGCAATTCATTATATCCTATATAATAAAAGCCTAATATGCTAAGTGTCCTGTCGTCCGTTCAACCAATCAAACTATAATATGCTAATTATGCTAAGACCGCTCAACAACTTGCTATGACATGCACTGACCACCAGGGGGGCAGACAGTCAACCGGTCAACCAGTCACTATGATGTGCACTGACCACCAGGGGGCAGACCATGACGGGTAGATTAGCTTGCTGCTGGGGTCCAGCTGATTGATATTGAGCGGGATGGACTGGACACACCTGGAGCCCTCCCGTGGTCCCTCCCTGGCTGGCCAACCTCCCACATCCCTCCCCAGCCCCGATCATGCACCAGTGGGGTCCCTCGGCCTCGCCTGTGCCCTCTTACAATCCGGGACCCCTCAAGGGATGTCAGAGAGCCAGTTTTGGCCCAACAGCAGAATGACAGGTCGATATGACATGCACTGACCACCAAGGGGAAGATGCTCAACACAGGAGCTGCCCCTGGTGGTCAGTGTGCTCCCACAAGGGGAACGCCACTCAGCCAGAAGCCAAGCTCACAAGCGGGCCTAAGTCAGCAGATGGACATCTCCCAAGGGCTCCCAGACTGGGAGAGGGTGCAGGCCGGGCTGAGGGAACCCCCCCGCCAGTGCACAAATTTTGTGCACCGGGCCTCTAGTATTCAAATAAAAGATAGCACAGTAAGTAGCATCATTAGATAATAGACACTAACCCCATTTTCAAATGGACAACCTGACACTGTGTAAGATGAATCTGCTCTGGGCTCCTCTCCTTAAAAAAGAATAGATAACACATATTAATTCCTCAGGCATGTGACATTTAAACAAAATGGAGTTTAATGAGTAATTTGCAAGAAAGTGGTCATGAAAAATACTATCAATCCTTATTTTAAAACTTTCCTAGGTCAAAATGTGACTTTAAACACACACACACACACACACACACACACACACACACACACACACAATGGCAAAGCCTCACTGAAAAGCAGGTCCCTGAACTGGCTAGAAAATAGTCAAGTTTAGCAAAGAAACCTTAGATTTAGACATTCGTCACATGGGTGAAAATAAAGTGAATTACAAAACTGAAAGGAGTTGCCAGGGAAGTGTTTGCCTCTGAAAAGAATTATACTATGGAAGAGGCCCAGGAGAAAATAATGCAACCTGGCTTTGTTCATTTGTTTCGCTTGATCATATTTTCTCCTTGTAGAGGAATATGGGACTATGGGGCCGGAAAGAAGGGAAAAGCTACCAGATAGGACTGAATAGATTGTGTTTTCATGCTTGCCTACACATTAGATTCAACAAGGAGCCCTTTAAAAAAATCCACACCCAGTATTTAATTGGCAGGTGGGGGAGGGGGGGAGGTGTATGTAAAGAACAGCCGGGGTTGAGAACCACTGAGCTAGTTGCAGAGTGCGTGCCAGGTGCAGTACAAAGCCTGGCATGATGCTGTAAGGATGACAAACATCTGGTGGATAAATACTTTCTGATGAATGCTTTGCAGTTTTCCCTTTTGGACCGTGATGCGGGCCACCTCCTCATCAAGAACCAGTATCTCTTCCAGGTATCTCATCACTCTCCAAAGTTAAACAGCTTCAGCAATGCACATTTAAAGCCAACTGAGAAGTTCTCACTGCATCAAGTCCTCTGATGAGATTCTAAAAGACAGGACTTTCACTATTTAGCATAAGACCTAATGTAAGCAATTCTTCTTCAAAAGGAGAATTTAGGTTTACTGAAGCAGAAAACTAAAAGCCTTTAATACAAAGCTGTAATTAATGGGTATTATAAATCATAGCAGCCGGATCTATGATTTCAGGTTTGTGGGATGCACTGGGTGCACCGCACAGTAATTCAACAAAAAGTGGCCTCCCGCATATAATTGCCCTTCTTGGAGAAAACCAATTTGATCCCAAAGAGGTTGGAAAGGAACGCAGATAATTACACACACTTACAATACAATTGCTTCCAGCTCTCCAAAGCCAACTTTAAAATGTATGCTTTTATTCTAAGCTAAATAAATTTTCTTCAGCTATGCCTTTTTATATTCAATCTAATAGAATAGCAAGGCCAAATTGTCACATTTGCCTATTATATATTTAATTAGTTATTCTGAGACTTGAACATTCCAACATTTCGTACTGATTAAATTCCTGTATTCTTCTAATAGAAGGATATTTTTGGTAAAATTGCCCCAACATAAAAATGCAAATCATAAAGGATTTGAAAGACATCCTTACGATGCAGCAAGCATCCAGGGTACCCCACTAGGAACCCATTAACTGGTAACAGACAGGCAATCCCTACTCCACACCTGACCTTAATTTAGGAAAGGGCAACCCAAGGCAGAACTTTGCTTTAATGCACAAGGGGCTTTTTTAGAGAGAACCCTGTCAGCCCTCCTTAGCTAAACTCCATTATATCCTAAAAATCTCTTCCACTATCCCACATCCAAGTCATCTCACTGGTCACTGGCTCCAGAATAACTCCCGTTCAAGGTAGGCCTTATTTAATTTTAAAGTACCACCTGGTCAATGATGACAGTTCTAAAAAAAAAAAATTTAAAAAAAAATGCATACCTCAAAACAAGGGCTCCAGAATAAATTCTACCAAAGCCATATGGAATGACTTGCATCATTAAAAATACTCAGCTTGAGTTTTCTGTTCTCTCATATCTTGAATGAAATATGGAAAATTCAGCTTTTATGTATGTAATAAACTATTATCATCACTCAAAGAAACTCTTACTGAAAAGTATGCTCATTTTTTTCAAATGAAAAGAAGGTACAGTAACTTGATGATTCCCCTAATTCAATTTAAGTTTATAACTTTGCAAAAGTGAAGGGATGCGCATCTCCTTCGGGAACTGTGAAGGACTGACAACCACTGGACCTGCTGGGATTCTACCTTCATCAGAAACCATCAGCAGTGCCTCCCACCTATTTTAGCAGGGCACTGGATAGAGGGTCTGTTGTAGACAGACATGAGCAGAGCAAGGACAATGGGCCAGGTACAGAAGGTCGCCAGGGTGGAAAGCCCCAGGTGCCCAGCAATGGACAATTAATTGTAGGGTGGGTATATCCTCCTCTAGCATATGGCTGGTCATGCAATTTGGACCCTCTGACCTTTCCTCCCTAGAAATAACATCTAGGTCTCAGTTGTATTTCAGCTCCAGGCCTAGAAGAAAAGCCACAAAACCAGCCACTGGACCAGATGACCCCTCTGTCCTTGCACCAACCAACCAATCAGTGGAGACCCCAAACCTGAAGGACATACCTGGAAAGTTGCTGAATATTCTATTAAGATCTTCCCCTGGGACCTCCCCTAAGATCTCCACCCTTAAAACCCTCGGGAGGAGGACCCAGCGTGCTCTCCCTCCCAGGAGCATGCCCACACCTTTCCCTTTTCCTTCCCTGGTTTCCCCCCACCCCGCACCCACAGTCCCTATCATTACCTACCTCACTCCCAAGGGCCCTTCCTTTACCTCTATAACTTATTTCCTAAGCCCATTTCTTCTAGGACTTTTTCTATCTCTGCGATTTACCAAATAAATGTTCTCTTATAGTTGGGTCTTGGCTCTGAATTCTTTCCTAACCAGAACTCAAGTACCGAGGTTGCTGAACCCATGGGTCCATTCCCGCCTCCTACAAAAGGTCCCTCTCTCCTTCCTCACCACCCTTCTAACCTATCTCACCTTCCCTGACTTTGTACCTCCTACTCTCCCTTAACTGCTCTTTTATCACTACTTTTTTCTACATTACTTTGAATCCATTCAACTTCCACTGTTTTCACCACTTACTTTCCTCTAGACACACTCTTGCTCTCTCCAACCTGCTCTCTTTCTCCATGCTCCCTCTTCCAAACCCCTCAACCCCCACCACCACGGCTGTTTTTCTTCTTGGCCTGATAACTGCCTCGCCTTGGTCTCTGGCTCTCACTGCTGCCTTCTCTCTCCACTGTTTGTTTTACTACCTGTCCTAGTCTCCTTCCAGGAGCTCACACCTCATTTCACTGTCTAAGTACCTATCCCAAAATAGGTGCTCCCCGTAGAAAGGCAAGATCTAACATTCCAATGAACTAGAAACTCCAAATTCTGGTTTTAAAAATAACAACACTAACATCTCACTAACTCCTTGTCACATGGGGCCAACTCAATTACTGCTATCACTCTAATTTTCTGCCAATATTCTTTCAAAAACTGAGTAGAAATTCGATTCTGATCTCATAGAATCAAATAAGTAGTTTTATTCATCTCTGTAACTGTACCCTGGAAGCTACTACTGTGACTCATTCTGGCTTCCCCTTATTCAATCTTTGAAGTTCCTATGAGGGTAGTTAGTGGGTAAGAACTGGAATGCCACGCACTAAAGAAGAAAGCAAGGTGTTCATGAAAACCTAGAATCCAGGAACTATTTGAACCATAAATTGGAAGCACAAGATAATAGGCTGTAACTAAATCTGGCTGTAACTGGAATCCAGTGAGATGTAAAAGACAATGTAGGTTCATCCTACCAAACTAGAATCAGTATCTGCTAACAGTGAGGCTCCCGGCAGTTACTCAATAAACACTTTTTCTAGCCTAAATTCTGAATGGCACTTAAAGATTAAGGCAGAATCCTGGGATTTCAGGTTTCCAAAAGTCATTCTGAAATATGACGATTCATATTTACTCTCCGCACATTATTCTACTACAGCAGCAAAGCTCCTGTCTTAAGCTTTGCTAGAAATTACCTAAAGACTACTATTGGGGAAAAAAAAATCAGGGGGAAAAAATGCCCCTTCTTTTATTTAAAGCAACTAGCACACTAAAAACCCACGCCAACTACTTTGTGATGGAATTTTCATGAAGAGCCGGCTGCAAAACACAGCCCCATGGAGAAAAGGAGTGGGAAGGACAAAAGGGTTACCCAGACCTAGGAATTCAAGGTGTCTTCAAATATTTGTAAAATGTGATTTAAAAGATTAAGAGGAAATGGAAAACACTTCTGATAAAATGCCACAATGCTCAAATAAAAACCTTTCAGGAAGCGGGATTTACCGATTACTATTTGTCCAAAAGATTATCTGTGTTTCTTACGTTAAAATGGAAAGGCTTCTTTAACAGGTCAGCTTCCAATGTGCTACAAATTGACAGATAAAGCGCTAGGTGGGTAACTTTCCAAAAGAGCAACATTTAAAAGGATGAGAACACAGAAAAGAAATATATTCAAATGTGGGTAGAGGAAATTTAGAATGCTGTGTGGCTAGGGTCTTTCTAAGATACTATGCTCCGTTCGTAATAACAGCACATATTTATTAGTAAATACCATTTTCAAAACAAACATTAATATTTAAACATAAATTACTGTGTTTTAAACACATAGCTATAAACACATGAGAAAACTGAATACCCCTTCTGTTAATATATGTTGAAATATTAAAAGTGTGTATACTATTCAACATAAATTCAAATCTACTGCATAGGGTCCTGGGTCTCATTGCTTATTCTGAATCAAGGACCAAAAACTCATACTATTTTCATACCTTGCATACAAAACAGCTTGGTTCTCCAGAAATCAATAAGTCAAATATTTGACTGCTCTGTATGCTCTGATTAGAAAATTCACATCCCTAAGGTCACAGTGTTCTACCTGCTTTTTCAAGTTTTTCACATTAACAGTCAGTACCAGGGTGGAATTTTCCTAGGTTTAAATGTCAGTGTCTGTTCTCATTGTAATAGTGACAAAACCATAAATGTACGTCAGCAGTGTTTTCATACTGAGGATGGTAAGAATGTGCCTGCTGTGAAAATACCAATAGTTCACCTTGCATGACATATTCCCATTTGAAAGTATCTTCTTTCACAAACCGAAAGCGAATGTGCCAGGAGGCAGCGTGCTCCTCAGCAAGTAAAAAGGGCTCCAGGGGAAACCCAGCACCGGATGGGCCTCCACTCCATCGGATGGGAAGCGCGTTCATCAGCCCCTTCAGAGACAATACTGATGAGCAGAATAGTGTATGCGAGATCATCTGGGTGGTGGAGATAATGCAATCACTACCTGACATCAGTGCATAGCCTAGCACACGATGCTTTCCTCATAACTGTTCACCATCACGGAGACCCTCTATCCCAGAGTTTACAAATACTGCATTACGCCTGGCATCACAGCCTGAGGCCTTCAGTGAAGTAAGTCAACGCAAAGGGACTCTAGAGTAAGTGAGTTAAGCATTTTAATAAAAATTATACAAATTTTGGCCCTGGACACACAGAAGAAAATGGTTCTTCTATATATCCTTCTAGAACAGTGGTTCTCAACCTTCCTAATGCCACAACCCTTTAATATAGTTCCTCATGTTGTGGTGACCCCCAATTTCATTGTTACAAATTGAACATAATTAAAGCATAGTGATTAATCACAGAAACAATATGTAATTATATATGTGTTTTCCGATGGTCATAGGTGACCCCTGTGAAAGGGTCGTTCGACCCCCAAAGGGGTCGCGACCCACAGGTTGAGAAACGCTGTTCTAGAAAATGAAACACCTGATTATACTATACTCCACGCAGTTACCATTCGTAAATGTATGTTGTATCAGTCAGGGCACCAAGTTGTAGACAATCCTCCAACTAATAAATATAAACAGAAAAATAATCTGTTAAAAGATACGTACGTTTAGAGAATATCCAGAGGGCCAGAGTACAATGACAGAAAACACTAATACACGTTACAGTAAATACGCCAGACGCTGCTCTAAGAGTTTTACTTTAATTAACTCATCTAATCCTCACAACTCTACGAGGTCCATGCTATTATTTCCCCTTTCACATCTGAGGGAACTGAAGCACAGAGAGCTGAAGTAACCTCCTCAAGCAGAGGCACGGGGCTTGGGGGGTGGTGGAGCTGGGCCTGCAGCAGGGATGCGAATGCAATCAGTCTGGACCCGTGTCCATACTCCATACTCCGGGCTGCCTCCCAAACAAGCAGGTCAGGAACAAAGTCCAGGAGGAGACCACTGCTCTGTTTCTGGGCACAGACTCTACAAACTCCACCAGCTCTGCACCCTGGACTCGCTCTCTAGAACGACTGATAGTGCTATTTCTGAAAACCCGATATAGCCACCGTTCCCACCCAATCCCCAACAGAACGGATTCTCTCTGGTACCTTCCTCTTTGTGTCACGAGCTTCCGACTTGGAAACTAGGGCAGATGCATCATGTTCCTGTACCTTAGCTACATTACAAGGAAAGTGGGAAAGGCAGGTGTCTGACATTGTGTGCTTGTGTGAAAAGAGAGAGGTCTGTCCTCATGGGCGGGAGAGAGGATTTCCACACACAGGAATTTCCCAGGAAATCAAAGTTATGGCAGCCAAACTAAACGACAAGATATCTGCCACACTATGGCGGTAGAGGTGGATACGGCAAAGAAGAAAAAAGATTTACGAGCAAAAGACAGGACTTGATGTGGGTGACAAATCCACAAAGAGCTTCTGATCTCTTCCTATGATATTCCCAAGTGTGGAGCACAGTTGTGGAGGATGGGGATTCCAGGGTCCGTGGCTGGATTAAAATACTCGAGAAATCGTGGTAGTGATGATTATGAAATCAGGAAGATGGGGATGGGGACAAGAGCAGAGGAAACGTGTCTGGCACTCTAGAAGTACATAATCAATAGCCTCTGCTACCGTGGTTAGTATTATCATCATTATTTATTCCAAGTCAAGAGGCTCGGGTAGTTTGGCTGTGCAGTCACACAACAAATAGGTACTGAGCACCTAGTAGATTCCAATTACTGAGTGAGGCATTAGCAAAAAATATAAAGACAGCAAAACGCACATGATCTGCATCCTCATAGAGTTTATGGTAAGTATATAGGAGAAGGAAATGAGTACTCAAATAACATACGGATAAATGACATAAAAGGCAAGTGCTACAAAGGAGAAGTATATGGGTGGCACTGTGGCTGTATGAGGAAGACTGACCTTTTAAGTGATTCTTGAGGGAAGGCCAGAGAGGAGGAATAAGTCAACCAAGAGAGGTAATCCCCCTGAGCAAGGTGGGGCAGCAGAGAGAATGGCCAACCATGTGTCCTGAGAAAACACTGCATTCCAAGAACTAAAGGGGGGAAAGGGGGGCAGTGTGACTAAAGAGAAGAGGCAGGGACCAGATGATAAGAGACTTCCAAACCACATAAGGGATGCTTATGATCCCAAGGCCAGTGAGGAGGACCACAGCACCACAGTTCGCTTCTTAACCAGCCTTCTAACCCACCTGGGACACTGGAGTGTCATCACCACGTGAAATAGCTTACGTGGGTTTAAGATATTGTTAATACCCAACACTTAACATGCAGTGTTATGAAGGCCTGAATGGTTTAAGATCTCTGAAGATGCTTTAAAAAACACATGTTGGAACTTCTGCCCTCCACTTCCCCCAAAAAAGTGTTTTAAGTCATAGAACCAAAGGAAGATAAATTAAAGATAGAAAGGATAGATTGGGGGGAGAACCAAGATGGCGGCATAGGTTAACGCCAGAGTTTGCTGCTTTGAACAACTACTTCAAAAGTGAAACCAAAAAACGGAAGGGACATCACCCAGAACCACAGGAACGCTGGCTGAGTGGAAGTCCTACAACTAGGAGGAAAGAGAAACGCATACGGACACTCAGAGGAGGCGCAGTGCTGAAGTCAAGTTCTGAGGTGCAGAGTGCGCGGAGCGGGCTGGCGGCGGAGGGCGCGGTTGGCGTTTTCAATCGGGAGGGCGTCGCAGACTCTGAGCTCCAGATCAGGGCGAGTCTTTAGGGACCCAGACTCAAACGGGAGAAGCGGGATTGTCTGGCTTCGGTCAGAGCGAGTGCAGCTTTCTCTCTGAGCTTTGCAGCGGGTGCTGGGACTCAGAGAGGCAGAGCCCCTGGGGACAGGACTGAGAGCCGCCATAACTGCTCTCTCCGGCCCACCCTGTCGATCCTGTTCGACCCGCCCCGCCCATGCCCTGCACAGAGGCATTTGCCGGATAGCCTCAGGCAAAGGCTAGATTAGCACCTCCCTAGAGGACAGAAGTTCTCTCACTGCAGACACAGCTGATTCTCATAGCCAATTGGCCTGGAGGTCAAACCCTCCCTGGTATTAGCTACAACAAGGTTTAACTATAAGACTGCGAACAAAGACCACTAGGGGGTGCACCAAGGAAGCATAACAAAATGCGGAGACAAAGAAACAGGACAAAATTGTCAATGGAAGATATAGAGTTCAGAACCACACTTTTAAGGTCTCTCAAGAACTGTTTAGAAGCCGCCGATAAACTTAATGAGATCTACAAGAAAACTAATGAGACCCTCGATCTTATATTGGGGAACCAACTAGAAATTAAGCATACACGGACTGAAATAACGAATATTATACAGACTCCCGACAGCAGACCAGAGGAGCGCGAGAATCAAGTCAATGATTTGAAATGCGAGGAAGCAAAAAACACCCAACCGGAAAAGCAAAATGAAAAAAGAATCCAAAAATGCGAGGATAGTGTAAGGAGCCTCTGGGACAGCTTCAAGCGTACAAACATCAGAATTATAGGGGTGCCAGAAGATGAGAGAGAGCAAGATATTGAAAACCTATTTGAAGAAATAATGACAGAAAACTTCCCCCACCTGGTGAAAGAAATGGACTTACAGGTCCAAGAAGCGCGGAGAACCCCAAACAAAAGGAATCCAAAGAGGACCACACCAAGACACATCATAATTAAAATGCCAAGAGCAAAAGATAAAGAGAGAATCTTAAAAACAGCAAGAGAAAGAAACTCAGTTACCTACAAGGGAATACCCATACGACTGTCAGCTGATTTCTCAACAGAAACTTTGCAGGCCAGAAGGGAGTGGCAAGAAATATTCACAAAGTGATGAATACCAAGAACCTACAACCAAGATTACTTTATCCAGCAAAGCTATCATTCAGAATTGAAGGTCAGATAAAGAGCTTCACAGATAAGGAAAAGCTAAAGGAGTTCATCACCACCAAACCAGGATTATGTGAAATGCTGAAAGGTATCCTTTAAGAAGAGGAAGAGGAAGAAAAAGGTAAAGATACAAATTATGAACAACAAATATGCATCTATCAACAAGTGAATCTAAGAATCAAGTGAATAAATAATCTGATGAACAGAATGAACTGTTGATTATAATAGAATCAGGGACATAGAAAGGGAATGGACTGACTATTCCTGGGGGGGGAAAGGGGTGTGGGAGATGCGGGAAGAGACTGGACAAAAATTGTGCACCTATGGATGAGGACAGTGGGTGGGGAGTGAGGGCGGAGGGTGGGGCAGGAACTGGGAGGAGGGGAGTTATGGGGGGGAAAAAAAGAGGAACAAATGTAATAATCTGAACAATAAAGATTTAATTAAAAAAAAAAAAGAATTCTTTCTATTGGAAAAAAAAAAAGATAGAAAGGATATGCCCAGCTGGTGTGGCTCAGGGGTTGAGGGCTCAATCCCCGGTAGGGGGCGTGCAGGAGACAGCCAATCAATGATTCTCTCTCATATTGATGTTTCTATCTCTCTCTCCCCCTCTCCCTTCCTCTCTGAAATCAATAAAATATATTTTTTTTAAAGATAGAAAGGATAGAGACATTATCTAGCCTAATGTCCCTCACTTTCTGGAGAAGAAATCATACTGGCCATTAGGGACAAAACCAGGACTAAACCTCAGTCCTAGATTTCCAATCCAGTGCTGATCCCTGCCACTCAGAAAATCCCATCTCCTTCATCTGCCCAGGAACCAACACTGCCTCGATGCACCAAGAAGGCTGGCTCGCTCCACTGCTGAGCACAAGCCTCTAACCCAGCGGTTCTCAACCTGTGGGTTGCGACCCCTTTGGCGGTCGAATGACCCTTTCACAGGGGTCGCCTAAGACCATCCTGCATATCAGATATTTACATTACGATTCATAACAGTAGCAACATTACAGTTATGAAGTAGCAACGAAAATAATTTTATGGTTGGGGATAAAAACATGACGAAATGTTTTAAAGGGCCAGAAGGTTGAGAACCACTGCCACACGATAGCTTCTCTTCCATGGCAGACTGGTATTTTTTAACCCTTAATGTTTTAATTCCTCAAGTATCTTTTCTGATTTTCCAGATACTGTTCTATGTAAACTGACTGTGATTGCTATCATTTTACACACATGCTATTCCACAACTGGCTTATTGAATTCTATCAAGAGAGAAAAGCAGGCATTGACTGCATCTGAGTTACATCAACATTTTTATATACAAATTCTTTTTGCGTGAATTTCCTGTTATGTTATTAAAGGTATAGACCCTCAAAATTAACCAAAGTTGCTCGTGATTAGCACAAGATAACCACAACAGCCCATCTTGATTCCTAATATGTCTCCTCTTTTAAAAGCTGACTTGCACTGAATTCACTATGGGATTAAGCAACCGGCAAGCAGGGAGGTGTGCGATGCCATTCAGACATTCAGAAGCACAGAAAATGCGCTTGCACACCTGCCAGAAGCTTCTGTTGCCAGAACTTGTGGGAGGAAGAATGATGCAGTACTAATTGCGGTGCCCTTGGCAGTCCCCAAACCGCAAGTTCATCCATCTCAGGAAGACGGAGCCGTGAGGCAGCACA